TTATCAATTTGTGAATATTGTACCAGCCTTGCATCCCTGGAATAAATCCCATTTTATAATCTTTTAAATTGTATTGCTGAATCCAAATTGCTAATATTTTGTTGAGGGTTTTAGCACCTACATTCATCAGGATATTGGCCTGTAATTCTCTTTGTAGTGTCTTTATCTGGTTTTGGAATTTAGTATAATGCTGGCCTCATAAAAAGAGCTTGGAAGTCTTCCTTCCTCTTGGATTTTTTGGAATAGATTGAGGAGGATAGGTGTTAGTTCTTCTTTGAACGTTTGGTAAAACTCCCCTGTGAAGCCATCTGGTCCAGGACTTCTGTTTGCTGGGAGTTCTGTTTTTGTTGTTTTTTGTTTGTTTGTTTGTTTTGTTTGTTTGTTTGTTTTTTACAATTTCAATTTCATTAGTTGTTATCAACCTATTAAGTTTATCTGATTCTTCCTGATTGACTTTTGAAAGATTATATTTTTCTAGGAATTTGTCTATTTTCTCAAACTTGTTGGCATATAGTTGTTCATAGTATTTTGTTACAATCCTTTGAATTTCTGTGGTATCAGTTGTTACTTCTTTCATTTCTGATTTATTTGGGTGCTCTTTGTTTCTTGATGAGTCTGGCTAGGGGTTCATCAATCTTGTTTATCTTTTCAAAGAACCAGCTCTTGGTTTCATTTATCTTGTTGTTGTTTTTCTAGTCTCTATGTCATTTATTTCTGCTCTCACCTTTATTTCCTTACTTCTACTAATTCTGGGAATTTCTTGTTGTTCTCTTTCTAATTCTTTTAGTTATAGGGTTAGCTATTTTATTTGAGTTTTTTCATGTTTCTTGAGGTAGGCCTGTAATGCTATGAACTTCCCTTTCAGGACTGATTTCACTGTGTTCCATATATTTTGAGTTGTTGTGAGATCATTTTCATTTGTTTTCAAGAAGTTTTTTATTTCTTCATTGATCTCATTGGTAATCTAATTCATTGTTTAATAACATGCTATTTAGCCTCCATTTGTTTATGTTTTTGAGGCTTTTTTCTTCTTTATGATTATCTTTTAATCCTCACCTGAGGAGTGAGGATATTTTTCCCACTGATGTTAGAGAGTGGAAGGAAGGGGGAAGGGGGAGAGAGAGAGGGAGGGTAAAAAGTGGGAGAGAGACACATTGATTGGTTGCCTCCTGCACACACCCTGACCAGGAGCATTGGACCTACAATCCAGGTATGTGCTTGGGAATTGACCATAAAACCCTTTGGTGCACAGGCTGATGCTCTAACCACTGAGCAATGCCAACTAGGGCAAATTTATTTGTTTTTTAATTGTAGTTGATTTCTAGTTTCATGCCATTGCGATCTAAGAGGATGCTTAACATGATTTAACTTTTTCTGAATTTGTTAAGGCTTATTTTGTGTTTTGTTTTGGCTTTTATTTTGTCTATTTTGTCAGATATTCATATTGCTACTTCAGTTTTTTCTTCATTATTTTTAAAATATGTTTTTATTGATATCAGAGAGAGGAAGGGAGTGATAGGAACATCAATGATGAGAATCATTGACTGGCTGCCTCATACACATCCCCTACTGGGTATTGTGCCCACAACACAGGCTTTAACCTGACCAGGAATTGAACCATGACGTCCTGGTTGATAGATTAATGCTCAATCACTGAGCAATACCAATTGAGTATTACCATTTTATCATTTTCATTTGCATGGGATATTTTTTTCCATCCCTTCATTTTTAGTCTGTGTGTATCTTTTGTTCTAAGGTGACTCTCTGGTAGAATACATATATATATATATATTTGGAGCATTAAGTCCATTTACATTTAAGCATTTAAGGTTATTATTGATAGGTACTTACTTGTTACCATTTTTTTTATTTATACCTTTGTTCGTCTCTCTCTCTTGTTTTCTTCTTCTTAACCTAGTCCCTTTAGTAGTTTTTTGCAATGCCTGTTTGGTGGTAATGTACTCCGTTAGCATTTTCTTTTTTTCTTTTGGTATGGGAAGCTCTTTATTTCATCTGCAATTTTAAAAGATAGCCTTGCTGGATAGAGTAGTCTTGGATTCATTACTTTTCTTTTCATTACTTTGCATACTTCATGCCACTGTCTTCTGGCTTGATGTGTTTTTACTAAAAAAATCAGCTGACAGTCTAATGGGAGCTCCCTTGTAGGTAACTTTCTGCCTCTCTCTTGTTGCCTTTAAGATTCTTTCTTTGTCTTTAACATTTACCATTTTAATTATGATGTGTCTAGATACAGGTCTTTGGGGTTCATCTTGAATGGGACTCCCTGTGTTTCCTGAACTTGTGTGACTTTTTCCTTCACCAGGTTAGGAAAGTTTTCTGTTATTATTTCTTCAAACAGTTCTCTATTACTTGCTCAGGTTCTTCTTCTTCTGGGTATCCTATAATGTGGATGTTCTTACATTTCATGTTGTCCTAAAGCTCCCTTAAACCATCCTCATGCTTTATACTTCTTTTTCCTAATTGCTGCTCTGAATGGATGTTTCCTTTCTATCTTGTATTCTAATTTGTTGAATCATTCCTCAAATTTTTCTCATCTACTGTTGATTCCTTCCTGGGTATTCTTTAATTTAGCTGCCATTTTTCAAATCTGATTGTTTCTTAGTCATGGTTTCTAAAGTTTTAGACCATTTTTTTTCCTTTTAATCTTTATTATTGAAAGTATTACATAGGTCCTCCTTTTCCCCCCAGTGACCTCTTCCAGCCTGCTCCCATACTCTGCCTCCTCCTCCAAGACCCTCATCACCCCATAGTTTCTTTTTTATTTTTAAGTATATTTTATTGATTTTTTTACAGAGAGAAAGGGAGAAGGATAGAGAGTTAGAAACATCGATGAGAGAGAAACATCTATCAGCTGCCTGCTGCACACTCCCCACTGGGGATGTGCCCGTAGCCAAGGTACATGCCCTTGACCAGAATCGAACCTGGGACCCTTGAGTCTGCAGGCCGATGCTCTATCCACTGAGCCAAACCGGTTAGGGCTACCCCATAGTTTCATGCTGATATAGTTCCCACTAAGTTCCTTATAGTGCTCATTAAGATGCTTATAATTATCAGTAAGTTGTTTGAGGATACTTATACTAGTAAACATTACTTTCAACTCTATATCTGAAAAACTCCTTGCCACCATTTCATTTAGATCCTTTCCTCATGATTCCCCAGTGGTGGGTCCCAGTGTCTGGGGATTCCATGTAGCGGTGGCAGAGCAGAGGGTGCCTGGTTGCAGTGGCGGGGCTGGGTGCACTGGACAGTGATCTAAGTGCACTGGATCATGGGTCACTCCCCCAACTTCTTCCCAAGGAGGATATTCAGGGTCCTCAGGGAGGATCTTCAGGCTCATTATCCAAAATGGCTCATTATCCAATCTCAAGCAGAAGTACCTGCTGAGCAGCACACAGCAGCAGCCAATGGCTCCCCAGCCAAGAGCACACAAACTGACTGCCCAAAGTTCCCCCACCACTAGACAAATGCCCACCACACTCACAAGCACACATACTCTCCTTTACACATGCTCACCCATTCACACTCTAACCCTCACTCTGGTACTGACTGCCGTCATGTTAGACTCCTCTGTCATGGTTTATTTTTGATACTTTTCCATGGTAGAAGATCTACCAGTCAAGAATGTGACAAACTAATTTTCATGATGTGCTTGCTCGTCATAGATTCAAAAGCCTTCATATATATGGCAATAGGATGTGTACAAGTGCCTTCTGTGTGGTGGTGGGGAGTTGTGGGCGTGACAAAAACAGGCTTTACCTAAAAACAATTGAATTCTATTGTCTCAAAAAACCCTCCACTTGGCCACCGCAAACAGGGCTGTAGCCACCAGTGTGTGGATCCTCATACACTCTCCAGTTTCTTGCCTTTTCCTGTTCACTTCCCCCGAACCTGGGTAGAGGAAAATTAATAAGGAAAATGTAGACAAGTAGCTTGTTGTTAGCTCTGATGCTGCAAAGAGGGAGGCTCTACATTTCTTTGCCAAAGGGAGATGGTAAGTTTCTGGATGGGTGAAGCTTTGACACTGTCCCCATGTTCAATTAGGAAGAGAAATGAAGAGGGAGTATGCTACAATATTATCATTGACCATTATCCAAAGGTCTGACCAGAACAGAAAATAACCCACCATGCCAGGGGTGAAGTGAATGACTTAACGGAAAAGCTGACTTGCTCAACTACATACATCATTCTATGAGTAGCTACATTAGTGTGGCGTGATCCTTGCTGGAAGGGGAATCAGAGTGGATGGAGTAATTAAGACATCAACCTCCTTCTTTCTAAGACTCAGTAATTTAGTAGAACACACATACCCGAGAAACAGAAGCACACTGGCAGAGTAACCCAGGGTCAGATGACGTAAAAAATAGACACAAAACATGCAACCTGATTCCTTATTGAAATGTTGAATGGAGGTGGATAAAAAAGGGTCAAACTGAGGAGAGGAGAATTCTGAAGAGGCTAGTTTTAAGCCTCTACAGAGGAGGAGGACAACTGACAACTTCGTGAGGAGAGAGACCTATCTAAGGCCGACTTGGGCATGAATTCAGGCCAGAAAGGAGGCCAGCAAACCAACTGGCTCAGGTCAGCACAATACTTGGTCAGAGGGTTAGATAGGCCGCAAGAGGGAGGACAACCAGGGAGAAGTGTTGAATGCCTTCTGAGGTGACTATATATCTGATAAGATGGCATAAAGAAGCTGTTAGGAAAAGACATAGAGATGAAAGCCATTCTAGGACAGAAATACAAGGATTCAGAGAAAGGATTGGTACATGAGGGCATGTTGCATAAGGGGGAGGTAACCAAAGATAAACCAACAGGTAAGGAACTGAAACCCTGAAGGTTGGAAAGGAATAGTCACAAAAACTGAAAGGAGAAAAAGGAAATAACTGAGTGAAAATACTGCAGGGCACATGTAGCATCTTCATTCTACCTATTACAGTGAGGGGAGGGCATTTGAAATCTCTGGGTCCTTCGGAAAGCTTAATGAATGACCAATGTGCTCTGTTACAGAGCTGTCCTAATCACAGCTAAAACAGAGGATGTCCATGAAAGCCACTCACAAATGGGGCACTTTTTCAGGCAGCGCAAATTAGTCTGACAGAATCCAGCAGGCAAAGACCCACTCCACACCAGCATACTATAACTTAACATTAAGCCGAACACAATCTGAAATGCTTTAATCACCTCACAAATAATGAGGCAGACCCACATTTACAGGTTCAAGAAAATGAAGCAAGGAGGTGATAAGGGTATTTTATTAGTATGCTAAAACCTATTTTTATTTTATTGTAGATATTTAATATGTTTGCATCTTTCATTTTAGAGGTCTGCATTTTTCCAGTTTTAAATCAGTTAGCTACTGAGACCTTCATAGTCCCTGACTGCTTTAATTGTGTTCTTTATAGATTTCAAAGAATATGCAGAGTATTTTCACAAGTTCTCCTCCCTAGAGCCTTGTCAAATGTGAGATCAGCCACAGAGCCTCATCCTGAGAGTTGAGGGTCAGATCCCAGACCTCAGGGGCCACATGCCGACTGCCCTGAAGACAAAATGGGCTGGTGAGCAGCGGGACATTTGGGGTGTCTTGGGAGCATCCTGGGTGCTCAGACAGACTCTTTCTTGAATCTGATGGAAGTTTTAGTTTATGAAAGAAGAGAAGTTGGACTGCTGGTAATGTTCTCTTCTCTGGAACAACGACGCACCTGAATTCACTTAAAGCACGAAATCTGGTGACATCAAACTGTGTTCGTGGAGGAGGTGTGTTTAGAGAGCGAACGTGTGGATAGAAAACTCGATCTTCCTTCACAAGGGCGATGTGGGTATTTAGAAGGACCAGTGACTGACACTCGTCTTGGCCAGAATCATCTTCAACTCTGACTGTTGTGTACAGCAGTAGCTGAACCTCTGCCAGAGAGGGGATGTTGACTTCCATATTTCCATGGAGAAAGTAAATCATGTCAACCATGGTATTCTGGAATTTGGATGACAACCAAACTCCGTTTGACAAAACTAAATCAGGGATTTCTGCTTTCCAATCAAGAGAAAGCTGGACCAGATCTTGCTGGAGCAAAGGGTGACTTGAGCAGGCAGTGGCGTCAGACTCGGGCATCAGGACACACAGAAGGTCACGGCATATTTGTTGACAGAGATTTTTGTTGTAACTAAATACAGTGAGCAGGAGACTCTCTGCAGAGCCCAGGAATCGAATGCTCTGCCCACCAAAGCCGATTTGAATCTCCCGTAGTCCTGTAAGAGACAGAGCATGAAAAATGCCCATGGAGCCCAGGTGGGTGTCTGACAGGACTAAAGCATATAAAGTTGAAGGAAGCAGGAGCAAACACGCTGGCTGGGGGTCAGGTTCTGTGCAGTTAGCAACAGCAAGCCAGTAAATGCCTCTGACCTTATGCATGTCGACCAGAAGTCCTGGTAGGAAACAAGCCACATGCTGGAGAAAGTCTTTTAAAGGGCACTCTTGAAGTTTCAGCATTGGATCTGGGAATTGCACAAGGGTCTGCTTAAATGCAGAGATCCTTCCAGCTTCTTCAGATTCCAGGCGGACAACTGAGCTTGGAGAGGAACCTGGTACCTCTGCAGCTGTGAGGCCTGGCACTCTGTAAGGCTCCACGCTCCCTGCTGGCCTGATGGCTCCTGCCTCCTCACTGAGGCTGCCAACCTGATCTTCTGCAGGAAGAGAATGAGATTCTGATGATACCCAGTGTGACGTCAAGGGCAGATGCCGGGGTAAGTTCTTCACCAAGGGCAGTCTTCCGATGAATGTTGTTACTTGGGAGGTGAGTCCACTGGGGTCCCACAGACTCCCCACATGCCTGGCTTGGCTGATAACCTTTGTGCCAGCCTGTAGCAGGTGACTGCTCGTACCTTTATAAAGGTTGGAGAACCTGTGGTAAAAATATCCTAACCCACCGTTCCCTTCTGTCCTGATATTTATCGATGACTCTGGAGGGCTAACTTTTTCAGAAGCTAACTCTTCCTCAGGGTGCTGCTCACTACACAACTTTGAGGCTGGTGAACTCTGAAAAATGCCGGCAGATACACTCTCCTCACTAGAAACACTTCCAGAGAAGACACAATAGAGTAACTTGCTTTGCCTGGTCTGTTTGTTCCCACTATTTATAGACACTTCTCGGCATGTATGTTGCAGCAGAGTCCAGCTGGATTCAATTTCCAAGTTGTGTTCATCTTTATGAGTCATCAGCTCACTGAAATTTTCTGATTTAACCTGAAAATGTTCTGCATTGCTGGTGTTGTTTTCATTAAGAGGAGAGATTTTAGATAGACTGAAACCTTTTGTTCGACAACCACCCATGTGCTCAGGACAACTATATTTGCAATCACTGTTCTGCAGCGCCTCAGGTGCTGAGGGCTGATCCCTTGGGTGGTAGACTCTCTCTCCTGATGCTGAAGAGAAAATTGTAGAGTCTGAGATGTTCCAAGTCATGGGATCACTCTGGTGGTTGTTCTGATCCACCTCCCTCCTCTCCTCTCTGGTGGAAGGGTCAGTAACATCTTTGGGCAGCAGCGGGGCAAGACCCCCTTTCTGTTCAAGATGTCAAAAACAGTTGAAATGGGGATGTGGTAGCAGCCTTCGTGATTCTTTTGCACATGAAGATTCTTGCAGTCATTGGTTTCATTGTGTGGATTGATTCAGAGGTTAAATCAAAAGCCTAAGCCATTCATATTGATTGAGGCATGATTTGAAAATATATGATTGGATTCACATATAGAACATTAATTTCCATATTATATCCCTAATAAATTGCTGAGTAATTTTACAGAAGTACCTTGTATGGAATTGATCTACAGTATCCATTTCCTGGTCTAATATTTCATTCACTCTAAAATAAATCCTAAGTCATTTGGGTCAGTTTTCAAAAGGTCAAATTCAGTTGTACAAATGAGTCCATGACCATATGTTCAAAATGTAAAAGTAATTAGGGCATACTTAATGAAAATATGACAGCAAGGTCAAAAGAAATTGACAGGTGTTCCAACTGAAATCCTACTTCTCTTGCCTCTTGGTTCATTTGACAAGATTCCTTAATTCCATCTACCTGGTTAGATTGCTATTACCATATTTACAATCCAACCTTGTCAAAGGCCAGCCACTATGGATACAAAGAAATGAAAGGCAACAGCCTGCTCTTCACCAGGTTATCGGCTGAAGAGATGGATGTCCAGAGGAAGATAATGCCATTACTGGATGATTGGAAGGAGAACATGGCAGTGGCCAAAATCAGTTAAGCCTTCTGTGGAACATCCATGCTTCCACCTCTCATTCTCTGTTCAGTAATTTAGAAACACCATCTGTAAGATTTGTATCACCACCAGTTGTTTTCTGTGTGTGTGTGTGTGTGTTTTAGGAATGTATGGGAAAGACAAGACCCTTAGTGGAGAAAAATACAAGTAAGCCCTTAGAAATTGTATGCCCAATAAACCTGAGTTTGACAATTCAATAGTGAAATAAGCTCATCAACAAAGAGTTATTTCCTTTGTATTACTGCCAACTCAGTCTATAAAGTAAGCAGGATTTTAAAATATTGAGAAGTGCTCAGTTTCATTTCTAAACACCATATATAATTCTGGTTATATAAATCTGCCTTTCAAATGCAAACCAAGAGAAAGGATACTGTTGCCAATGAAAAACTAGGCAAAGCGCCTCCACCACCGCTACATGCCACGCAAACAAAGTCAAAGCAGTTTTGAATCTGCAGGAGCCCATTTAATTTTAGGGAAGAATAGCTTGCCTTCCCTATTAGCCATTAATCTCACTGGGACTTCGAGGTTCTAATTATGCAACTAAACATTAAGAAAATTTAATCACATGAGCATGCCATAATTTAAGGCGACCCTATCAATCTGAAAAATCATTACCTACCTCATATTTTAGCTTACGTTGAATGGTACCATTGTGAAGTTTCTCATTATTCTGAAAAGAATAGAAAAAGTCCTTTAAATTAAATTACAGTGTGTTCATAGAGGAGAAAAAAAATGATTTGATTAGAAATATTTATGGGAACAAAATTCTAAAGAAACATACTTGCCATTCAACAATGACAATTTTTCTATAGAATTTATATTCCACAGTAAACATGACTCTATCGATCCATCTGCCCGTAAGAGAACTGAACCATTTATTCTGAATCTTAAATGTCTAAGAATAATATTAAAAGCAAGGTTTTCCTTAGGACAATTCTTAAAGTTGCAAGATAGAAATGCAATGCTTTTATTTTGATAAAAATCAAGTTGCAAATATGTATTTTCTCAAAGGTAATTTTTTTTCTACCTGAAATATTCATCAAGCAAATTAAATACTTACAGAAATTGGTTGTATTTATTTTATTTTATTTTTTTTCAATTACAGTTTACATTCAATATTATTTTGTATTAGTTTCAGGTGAAATTGGTTAGTATTTTTGGAGAAAACAGGAAAATGTTACATGTAGACTTATTATAAATCAAACAAAGTAAATAAAACATTTTAGGAAACTTTATATTCACTTAAGAATTTCCTCCAGAAATTCAAAAGTTTACAATAAATAAACTTACTTTTGAACTCACACTATTTGTAAACTATTAGGCTCCACCCAATATTTAATTTTTCTAGAACATTTGCATCTCAATTTTCTCACTGAAAAACAGTAACAAAAGATCCCACCACTATCTTCAATAATTTATTGAAGGCTTGTCTTAAAACGCATGACTGCGTTAGTATGGTTCCCTCAGCTCACCTTCGTCATGTCTGCAGATACACTGCTGTCATTGCAAATCACACGACGCAAATCCTGAAGACGCCTTTGGACTTCCTCTTCAATGTAAGCACTGACCCTGGGAACAGGGAGACAGGGGTACTTGAATACTTCTAACCACACAGAGCATTGGAGATACTGTTGTTACTATGCCCTTCACAATAGGGAACTTTCCCGTTTTATTTTTTTTTTATATATATACTTTATTGATTTCAGAGAGGAAGGGAAAGGGAGAGATAGAAACATCAATATGAAGAGAATCATTGATTGGGTGTCTCCTGCATGGCCCTTCTCCTTCTCTCCCCCTACCTGCTGGGGACAGAGCCTGCAACTCATAGCATTTCCATATTATATCTCTAATATAATGCTCAACCACTGAGCCATGCTGACAGGGCAAACTTTCTCATTTTAAATGCCAAACATAACAACTCTGGACCTTAAACATTTTTCTACTTTCTAAGAAGTCTAGAGCCATGTGTTCACTATCTGTGTTCTCTCCAAATGAGAGAGAACTGACTGAATAACAGAAGCTTGAGACTGGAAGGACAACTGAGTGATCCCATCCAACTCTCCCCTGGATTACCTTTTAGTATTGAAAATAAAATCATGTGCAACTGAAACTGAGCTAAGGCCACTTACAAATGAATTGCCTCACTGGACTTTTAATTTTTAAATTATCCCAGTGGAATATGCAGCCCTAACTTTAAAGGGCCACAGAAGTTCATACTATTCTGAGTACATTTTGATATCCAAATACTTATCTCCTAATCAGGACTGTCCAGTTTGAAATGTCCCCATGGCATAGATGGGTTGAGAAAAATAACCAAGTTCTTTATAGCTAAAGAATGATTGAGTCAATTTATCTGAGAGTCTAAGCCACAGAGCAATTGACAATGCCACCCAAGTTGAAAGTCATTTCATTATAGTAGCTGTCAGGTATATAGGTATGCTATTTATGATCATTCTGAATATACTGGTACAGCGTTGGTAACAGACTTCATCTATTTGTAATCATGACTTCTATAAACTATCTGTCAGCGTAAGGTCCTTCTTCTTGGTACAATTCAATTAATGCGATTTCTTTGTTCCTCTCAACTTGGCCTTGCATCACTACCTTCTTGGTGAGCTGGTTCCCCAGGACCTTTTAGTTCTGTCTTCTCACACAAACTACTTGCACCAGCATTACTTGGATTTAGCTGGCCAGTTTTCAAGTCTTTGGTTCCCTTTAAATGATAACTCAACCCAGGGAGTGGTTGATGGAGACAAAGCGCATCTTAGGGCAGTGATGGCGAACCTTTTGAGCTCGGCGTGTCAGCATTTTGAAAAACCCTAACTTAATTCTGGTGCCGTGTCATATATAGAAATTTTTTGATATTTGCAACCATAGTAAAACAAAGATTTATATTTTTGATATTTATTTTATATATTTAAATGCCATTTAACAAAGAAAAATCAACCAAAAAAATGAGTTCGCGTGTCAGGTTCGCCATCACTGTCTTAGGGTCATGAATTACTTGTCACCTTCTATAGAGCCCTCCATATGTAAACTGGCCAATATGAGAGATAGTGACTCATTGAATCACATCAGAAATGATGACAGTTTAATGTCCAGTACCTGGCGTCCATCAGAGGAGCCAGGTGAGATTTTTCAGCGTTGGATGACAAGCTGGAAGAAGCAGCCTTTTCCTCTAAGGTACCAAAATGCCCTTTCTGAACACCATCAACTTCATAGATCTTCTGCTTCAACTGCTGGATTTCATGTTCCAACCTACAGAGATGGAAGATACATGAATTCATTCATTAACAGTATTTCCTGAGCATCGACACTGATTGGGACGTTGTTCTAGAAACCATGGGGGATCCAGACAAAAAATCTGTGCAAACAGCTTTACCATCTAATAGAAAACGTGCCACATACCTAAAAGATAAAGTATATGGTGATAATGGGCCACAAAAGGGGTTCAGAACAAGTACTTTAGGCATTCAAAAACTGGAGCATTTTACCATCAAGGGCAAAGATTCCCACTGTGCTCCAAGCAAATGCTCAGAGGTAGATGTGCAGGATTCTGAGCCCCCTACCCTGCCTTCAATAAAACAGTTGTTTACTATATATTGAGATCTCACTTAACATTTCTGTTTGAGAAAAGAGATCTATACTTTCAAGAGTTTTTAAAACCACCAATCTTGAAGAACCTTCATGGTCAAGGTAGGTTTAAGTTGAATCTTCAGAGACCAGTGGGAATTCGAATCTCTGGGGATAGTGGCAGAGAGTTGTCCAGGTACAGAAAGCAACATGAACACAGAAGCTAAGCTGTGGAAACCGGGAATCCACTTTGCCTAGGCAGAGGGTGTGGAAAGGGCAAAAAGATGAGAGATCTAGGAAAGCAGGCTGAGTATCTCAGGAAACTCATATAAACTGTAAACTGTAAAATCAAACATTTATTGCCCATGATGCCTCTAATATGAGGTCAAGTGTCTGTGAGGCTGTTCTGCCACTGACCCAGGCACACTTGAATCCAGGGCCATCATTGCAAGCATGTCAAACTTGCAGCCGGCCATAAACGAGGCATGTGGCCCGTCAGCCATGAATTTGACATGCATGGGCTAGCAGCGGTTCTCAACCTGTGGGTCGCGACCATCGGAAAACACATATAGCATATCAGATATTTACATTACAATTCATAACAGTAGCAGAATTACAGTTATGAAGTAGCAACGAAAATAATTTTATGGTTGGGGGTCACCACAACATGAGGAACTGTATTAAAGGGTTGAGGCATTAGGAAGGTTGAGAACCACTGGAGAGGAACAAGTCTGCCCATGCACTTGGTCCCAGAAAACACTAGACCCAGCTAGGGGCTGTGGCCCACATGGGGTGTGAACTGGGGCAAGTTAATGAAATCTGGGTCTCAATGTCTTTAGATATCAAATGAGAGAGTAAACTAGTCTCTCCAAATCCACTCAGCTCCAAAAATGATGGATTTTAGCTTCAGATGCTGGCACACCGTAACACTGCCAGCTCTCCGATGTCACCAGCAGCAATTTGACTGCTCTGTCCTAAACATGAAAGCCACGTTGTGAACTGCTGAAATTAGACTGTGGGGTCACCAGGGTTAGCACTCATGGGTTTCATGGGAGGCAATGCCCTGCTTAACTCAGCCTTTCATCTGTCTGCTGATTAGCAAGTACTTATTGAGCATCACCTTGCAGAGCACACAACATTTTCAAAGGGCAAGGGAATGAGCACAAGAGAGTGATGTTAGGGGCCAGGTGGGTGGGCCAGCAACCAGGGAACAATATTGAGTGTCTCCGAGGTCGTAAGGAAAATGAGCCGGATATAAGTAGGTAACTGCCAATGTTTATAATTAGGATGACACCCAGTGGAGTTGTTCAAAGGCTGCAGGACCAGGACTGTGGAAAAGACAGAGCAGGGGTTAAAGGGGGCCCTGAAGGCTGAGCAGGATTTATAGGAGGGGTTGGGGCACATGGAAGAGCCGCCTGCCTGGCAGCAGCTCTGTGTCAGCAGACAAGAGGACAAGAGGCTAAGAGTCTGGAGGTAAGTAGACCTAGATTCAAGTTGCAGCTCTGCCATTTTCCACCTGACACTTGTCCCGAGTGGTTATATAACTACTGGGTAGAAAAGAAAAAAAAGACAGAAAATGGGTTAAATTTTGCTCGCAAACAACCAACAGGCAAAGCCAAGTTCAGTACACTGTTATCCAATCTGGTTCCACAGGAATTTAATATTTCACACTTGTGGATTTCACGAGTGGTCAAGTCAGGCTGCATGGCAGGCCCTGGCTTAGCCATGAGAAACCCAGAAAGATAAACACTAAAAAAAGCTCAGGAGCATCACAGCCAGAACAAAGAGCTCAGATTTGTTGGCCTGAACTAGGAGTAGCCAAGTCTACTCCATCCAAACACAGGAAGCTGAAAGCCTCCTCTGTGTGGCTGCTAGAGCAAGGCTGACATGATCACTTCCGCTATAATAGAGTATTAATACTAAATGGCCAGGGAGTGAAGCCAGTTGAAAAAAGCCAGGGACAGCAAGCTAAAAGCTCAGGCTGCATTCCTACTGCACACTGCAGGATACAAATTGAGAGCGTGCTCTCCACTACTTAAAATTTCCTGGGGCTGCCGCTTTGTCCGGAAATTTTGTTTATATAATACACCTGCAGTCCTATTCTTGAATTTCAAACCTATTTCTCTGAAGTAATAGCATTATGGTTTTTGATTGTTATTTGCTGCCGTTTTGCCTGCAGGAATTACCAGAGTAATTGTAAATAGAATTCACAGTAGAAGCCGGTCATTTGAAAGGAGGTTGCCCCAGCCGGCTTGGCTTAGTGGATAGACCGTCAGCCTGCAGACTGAAAGGAGGTTGTCCTGACCTTTCCAGGCAAAATGATGGATGGAGGCTCCAGCAACACCTCAGAGCAGGCCTTGCCTGTCATTAGCATGGATCCCAGGCCTCTGCCAATGCCAAGCTGGGCTCCTACAGGGCCGCAGACTGGGCTTCTGTTGCAGCCCCTACAGGAGGCCTCTGGATGGGAGGAATGCTGAGGTGGGGGCAGTGTTCCACGCCCTCCAACCTGGGCTTCAGTTAAGATCTCAACTAACCAAAGGTTTGGAGCTAAGAAAATGTACAGACCCCTGATCTCATCTACCATCTACCCCTCCCTATAAGGGTGAATGGGTGACAGATCCCGAACCAGCAATGATGGGGCGGGGGGCGAAGGGGGGGGGGGGGTCGTGGAGAGGAGAGACAGACCAGAAGGAAGAAAGGAAAAGGAGGAAGGAGTCAATGCCAGAAGCTTTCAGTCTTCTGTATTTATCACATATTAAAAAGTACACATTCCACAGGTCAGCGGGGTAATGAACAAGGCCTTTTTTTTTTGTTTGTGTGTTGTTTTCAACTTTAGGCCAATGATTCTAGAACAAGGATCCTAAAGAGGAAGTAAAGGATGTTTAGAGGTATTTCTCTCAGGCAAATAAGCATTTGCCTTCGTACTAGAGAATATCAAAGCTAAATGAATTCCTTTATAAAAAGACAGTGCTAGACACACTGTGAGGGGGAGACAACGCGCAACGGCGTGGCACCAGGGCTATGCCACGCTCTCCCTCCCCACATCTCACCTCTCCCGGTCCTTCTCCAGGGCCTCCTGCTCGGCTTCCAGGCTGGCCTGCAGCCCTGACTGCTCGCTGCTACTGCTGCTCAGGGTGGCCAGCTTCTGCCTCTGCTCTTCGATCTCCAGGCCCAGGGTGGAGCGCCGCTGCAGGGCCGAGTGTCTCCTCTCCAGCCTGGCCACGGCCCGCTCCAGCGCCTCCCGCTGCTGCTTCTCCCGCGATTCCAGAATCTCCTTTTCCTTTTTCCTCACTTTTTCTTCCTGCCGGGCAACGTTGGCCGTGAATTCAAAGGTGGCTTGGAGCTTCTGCAGCTGGCTCGCGTTGGCTTGGTACTGGGCAAGCTGCTCTTCTTTTTCTTCCATTTCTTTTTCTACTTGATAAAGAGTGTTGTCTAAGCCCAGGGGGCCTCTATCGAGGATTTCAAACGCTCTCTGCTTTTCCTCTAGCAGCGTCGGCAGATGATTCTGCAGGAGGTACTGGAGCTGGCGCTCTTTATATTGCAGCCTACACTCTGCTGGCTTTATTTTCCCTAAATCTTGAGCCACCTGGGGGACATATGTGACACCATCATCATTTTTTCCCAACAACCTAGAGTCCTCCTCATTTTCCGATTTTAACCGTTCTAGGGTTTCCTGTTCTTCTTCAACTTCTTTTTTCAGAAGGTCCTTCTGCTGCACCAGGTCCTTCTCCAAGTTGGCTAGCTTGACCAGCTGCCTCCTCTTGAACTCTAAGAAATGCAACTGAGCCCTTTCCAGCTCCTCGCCGTCCTCATCGCCCTCGGCGCGGGCTTCCTTCACCCGCAGCAGCGACGCCCGGATGCCCTCCAGGTCTCTGCGCTCCTCCTCCACCCGCTGCACCTCTCCGCGCCGCAGGAGCCGGATCATCTCCTGCTTCTCCCGTAGCTGCTCCTCCAGATGGGCCACGAGCATGACCTGCTCCTTTTCTTGCTCCTCCAGCCTCTTCTTTTCCAGTTCCAGCTTGGCACACTGCTCCTCCTTTTCCCTTCTGAGCCGGTCCAGTTCTTCAAATATCTGCGTCTTCTCGGCCTTCTCGCTGTGGTTGAGTTCCTGCAGCCGCCGGAGCTCCTCTTTGACCCGGAGGAAGCGCTCTTCTTCCTGCTGCTGCTTCTGCAGCTCCATTTCCTGCTGCTCCCGCAGCCTTTCCTCTTCAAACCGCTCCTTCTCCGCCAGCAGGTCCTTGAGCCGGCTCTCGATGTGGAAGCTGCGGCGCTTGAGGCTCTCCTCCTGCTTGCGGATCTGGCGCTGGACGATCTCCGTCTCCTTGCGCTGGCTCTCCACCTCCTGCTGCATGCGCTCCAGCGCCGCCTTGTCGGATTTCTGCTTCTCCTCCATTTCCTCTATGAGTTTCCTGAAATACACAAGGTTGACTGGTCATCATTTGAACACCGTATTCAAATGCTGCTCTCTCTCCCCGAACTGAAATGCTCTGAAAATGAATATACAATATACTAAAGCTAAGCCCTTCACTACAATAAAAATGAGGGAGAACTGCTTTGCTTTTCATTTCCAATAGCAGGCTGTGCGATTTTTCTTTTTTTTTTTACTCTCTCACTGTCCAACATATCATTTGCCTAATCTCTTAAAGTAGCCTCTGATATCATGTCTTTGTAGAGTCTATAAGCATAATGTGTTATGCATAATATAATTTTAAAAGCCCCCTGAGCTCAAAGAGAAAGAAGCCTGCCCAATTTAAATTTAAATGTGAATAATTTTATTCAGCCCAATGGTTAAAATGCAACAAATTCAGTTAACGAGATGGCATTAAACAAAAACGCTTATGCTCTCTTCAATTCATTGAGGTCAAATATCAAAGTCAAGATAATCGACAGTTCATTGTTCCTGCTCAAATAACTACATGCTATTTAGCATTTAATCACTATCTTAGAGAAATCATTAATAACCAAATGGCCCTACGTACTAGCTTATTAATACACAACACTGAATATAACAGAATCTTCATTAGAATACTTAAGTGCATGACTCCAGGGGTTCCATGCCATACTTTGTGTCTAAGACAGTGGTTCTCAACCTTCTGGCCCTTTAAATACAGTTCCTCAGGTTGTGACCCAACCATAAAATTATTTTCGTTGCTTCTTCATAACTGTAATGTTGCTGCTGTTATGAATCGTCATGTAAATATCTGATATGCAGGATGGTCTTAGGCGACCCCTGTGAAAGGGTCGTTCGACAGCCAAAGGGGTCGCGACCCACAGGTTGAGAACCGCTGGTCTAGGAGCACAAACGACCCCCACTGGGTGCTACTCAATGTTTCAGGGGTGGGATGGCCTACAAAGCAGCAACACGGGTCTGTAAGAGAACGGATGATGGCCTCCACCTTGGACCCATCAAGGATCTGTCTTATCTGATGCCGGAAACGAATTCATCTGTAACATCTAAACTCCAGATTCTAGAAAATAAATAGTCACTTTGTAAATATTTCTATGGCCTTAGTTTCTACTCAAGTGTCTTAGTCCATTTCTTGAGCTGTTAAACAGAACAGGAGAAAAAAAGGAGATATTTATCACATAATTATATTCAGAACATATAAGGACTCTCCAAATCAATAAATTAACCACACATTCACACACACCAGAAGAAAAGTGAACGAGGACTGTGAAGAAGCAGTTTAGAGGGAAATACAGATGGCCAACCAGCATGAGGAAAGATGTTTAGAGGGGGGAGGCATAAGGAAGGGGAATTATCATTCTTTCAGCTTTTTAAAAACTAACCTGATATTTTAAGGAAGACATATTTTCGAGTTAAATTTAAACAAATATTTATTTGGCATAATTAAATGAGTGTACTCAATTTGCCTACTGGCTCTATTTCTCCTTTCTCAGAAGTATTTGAAGATGAATTATTTAAAAAATTGAACTACGACGTAAAACGTACCAGCTAAAGAAAATGGCCTATAGTCTTTAGACATGTAAATAACAGAGATGGAGTGAGGTACTGAAATAGACATAGATGAAATTGGTCTAGGACATTAACACACGAATCCACAACTACAGTAGTGTTAAAACAGTAACCCATGTTGCTTACCTTTTGCTTTCCAATTTTTCAAGTTCTTCACGCTGCTGCCGCTCAAATTCGAGTCTAATAAAATCAAATGAAAATTAGTAACTTTTCTAAAAGAGCTTTTCTCTCTCTTACCCTTTGTACATTTACCTATTACAAAGAACATCAGTTATTTGAGTATGATTTTTCATCACTATGGATTAGCAAGTTTAAAAAGTAAACTTAATTCTATGACTATAATTAGAAATTAAACATACTTTATTTGGAGCTTGAATTCAGACTAAAAGAAAAAAAGTATCTTACTTAAAGAAAAATAAACAAACTCCACAGTACTGAAAAAGCAGAGTTAAGGACTTCTAAATGATAAGCATGTCTATTCCATGCAGTTTAGTCACTGATAAGTATATAAAAATGGAGAATCTCTACCTTAGACAGATGGGTCCTTTTAAAGGGAAAAGACTGCCAGGGAGGTAGAGAGAGAGAGCACAGACATCAATTAAGAAAACAACTGAGGAAAATATCAGGAGAAAAGCAGTGAGGTACAAAAGCCAATAGCCATGAACAAATTTAAACATCTTTTTTATAAATATCACATTTGCCAATAATTTTTGAAGCAAACATTAGCTCTGTAATAGTTTGTACACTTCCCATGATAAGTAGAGCACTAATAATAACTGAGTGTAAGTAATAATTGTAAGCAGTAGTCAAATTCATATTTCCTACTGTACAGATAGTTATACTGCAGGAAGTTTGTCAAGATCCTCCTTAACTAGGAGTTACATGAGGCTAGATAGATGATGAACAGGTTCCCCACAGTGGTAGCAAAATAAAGGAGGCCTAAGCCATTGGGAATTTTGAAAAAAAAAATCACTAAAATATTGATAACAAAAGTTGACTTTTTCCTTAAGTACTAGATTTAATTAGTGCAAGATTTCTTTATTTCTATTAAACAGCATGAACTGTAATTCACATTATTTTCCTGTTTTGGTAGTTGGCAGATATTCTAAAAAGCTGAACTATGGAAAAATTCACCATGGATTACTTTCCTGGGATAATGTGCAAGTGCAAATTGACCAGTTATCTTTACAATGAGCTAACAAATATTTCAAATAGCTCTGGTATTGATTTATTGTGCTCCAATATTGAGAATAAGATGTCTGACGGACCTTGTCCTGAATGTTTCACAAGTGAGCTTACCCTGTCTCCCTTATAAATCCTTAAAATAGCAAATAGGATCAGGAACCAAAGCTTGGATATGTGAATGGACTTGTCCAAGGTCATAAAGATAAGGCGTGCTGGAGCCAGGACTTGAACAGAAGATAGCCTGGTTCCAAAATATACTCAATTAATTAATTTTATAAGCAATGTTTAAATTTGCGATGTACAATAAAAGTATTAAGTCCTTCACTGAAACTTGTCATTTAGGATTATATTTATCCTCCTACCAAATAAAAATAGTCTGTAGATTACAGGCATTGTCATCCATGAGAAATTAATCATACATATATGATTTTTGACAGTTTCCAAGTGTAACACTTAAATCATTACACTAAGTGGGTATTAACTTCATTCAAGTTAATATATGACCACTCTCTTTCCTATAACAATAAATGAACCTTGGGGATGTTTCCTAGTTGTTATTTTTAGACTTCGGGATAGTTTAGTCTTTCTAGAGATACTTATGAAATCAAAAAGAATCTCTGGATAAAACATTTTCAAAATCAGAGAATTTCCCCAACAGAATTGTCTTTATTTTCTATTTTTCTATTTTTATTTTCTGTGAATAGCTCAGTGTGACTGTCCATAGACACTGCTCTGACAATGTCACAAGTGCATGGTCATAAGCCAAGTGCTACTCTGAAAGTTGGGTGCCCCAAGTTCGAAGGAAAACCTATCCCCTGAGATGTTTACAATGTGCAGGCGATGGGCTGGACACTCAGTATGCAACACCCCTCTTTGTCCTCCCAACCCCAGCAGATTGGCACTATTTTATAGAACAGGAAAGTGAGGTTCAGAGCAGGTAAATAGCAGAGGGAGCACTTGGATCCACGTTTGGTACTAAAGCCAACTACTACAATTGTTGCTAATGAGCTGCATGGTCTCAGGTCATAAAATGTGAGTTTTAATATCTTCAATTCTTGAAAATGACACCCTGAGCATCTGTTATTTTTAATGAGCACAATGTCAGGCACTGTGCTAGGCACAGGGGATTCAGCAGTCTGTAAGGGAAATGTTGTCACTGCACCCAAAGGGCTCCCAGTCTGTAATAGTCAAATGAAAACATGTGTCACAAGTAAGGAATGAGGAGGAACACAGTAATATAACAGAGAAGGGTACTAATCTCAGAATTGGTAAGTTTGTAGAATCAAGGCAAGCTACCCGAGGAAACCTATATCTAAACTACACCATTTTTCTTCGGGCAATGTACAGAAACTCAAGAGAGTAGCAATATAACCAAATCTTCTTGGCTTGCTATGGGAGAAATGGCAAGACATAAAGCTCAATAGAACAACAGAAGCAAGACAGTGAAGTGCCTTGAAGTTATATTTAGGACTTTGAACTTGACCCTGTGATGATGGTAGAAAAGTGTCTTGGAATAGGGTTGTTGAAAAACAGATAAACTTTGTGTTCTGTAGAGAACAGGAAGAAGGGGAACAATATGAGAAATGAAGAAACAAATAGGAAGCTTTTGTAGTCATATAAATAAGAGATGATGGAGGCAGGACCTAGGATAACTAGGATAAAGAAATGAGGTCATTCTCTAATATTCAGTAGGTTGAATTGATAGAACTTGATAACTGGTTACATTTTGGGGGTTTGTGATGAGAAAGAAAGAGTCAAAGATGAGTTTCAGGTCTCTGGCCAGGTTACAAATTCTAGTGGTTTTGAGACTATTAAATGAATTAAAATTAACTATGAATACTTAATTTTCACAGAAGTTAAAGAAAATAACAAGTCTTACCTCCAAGGATTGTATCCAGGATCAAATGAGATAATACATGAAAAATACCTGTAGAGCATCTGCACATTTTAGGTCCATAACAATAGCCTCTCATTGTTAGGATCCGCTGAGATAGGGAGGATAACTGGGGTTAAAACCAGCTGGGGGGTGGGGAGCAAGAAGCAGTGGTAGCTGTACTAGTGCTAGCACTCATGGTGGTGAAGGTAAGGGTAGTAGTTAATATCCACTGATGCTAATATCCACTGAAGACTTGGTCTATACCTGCTTCTAGGTACTTTGCATTTAACTCTCAAAATGGCCTTGTGTGATACAGGTTCCATCATTACCCCATTTTACCTATGAGCAATGTCCATATTGCTAGTAAATGGCAGAATCTATTCTTGATTCTAGAGCCCATAACTGTAATCTCTTCTCTATCCTAGCTTCATGAAGGTAATATCAAGTTTACACATGTTGTATCTAATGATTCCAGAAGATCATCCAAATTGAGATATCCAACAGGCAGGGGATTCAAAGGTCTGGCAGTCAGGTCTTTATCGAGGATGGAGATAGACTTGGGATTCACCAGTATCTAGACAAGAAGTAAAACCACAATAGTGGCTGAGGCTACACAGGACAAATGTATAGTATGAGAATAAAGGAGCTTAGTGCGAAGTCTGGAAGTCCACAGACCCTGCAGTGACTGGCAGAGAAGGACAGGCCTTCAAATGAGGTAGGAGTGAGCAGTTAAAGACAGAAAGAGAAGACCAAGAAAAGGTAGACAAGGGAAGTAGAGGGAAGGGGGTGCTTCAAGAAAGGGATTTGTAATATGAAATGCTTCAGGAATTAAGTCAATTAAGATGGACGCCAAGAAGAATTCATTGAACTTAATGACATGGAGGTCATCAGTGACCTTGAAGTAACCTCTGTGAGTTGAGGCCAGAATGCAGTGGGCTGAGGAGTAAAGTGGAGACTGAGAATGTAGATGAGGTAGAGAGCTTTCCTGGAAATTTTAGTTATAAAGGGAAGATGGTAGTTTTAGGAAAATGGGAGCTCATTTTAATATCTAGGAGACTTACGTTTATTTAAATGACTGTATAAACAAGCCAAAAGAAAGAGGGGATAAAAAATTAGGGAGAGGTTGGAGATATCTCAGGGGACCCTGATTGGGCATGAGTAGAAAGGATGAACCAATGGCTAAGAGCAAGGATTATTCTAGCCCAGATCAAATCCTGGCTCCAATGTGACATGGAACAAGTTCTCAGCATCTCTTAAGCTCAGTTTCCTCATCTGAAAATAGACTCGAAAATAACCCTAGTCCCTACAGGATAGAGGATCCAATAAGAGTACAAACTGAGAAATCAGCAGTTAATAAATATTAGCCCTGAATCCTATAGGGTCCATAGTATAAGTAGAGGAAGCTAGCCTGACAAAGGCAAAGGGCAGTTCAGCCATTGGAACAGTAAGGAAGGAGTAAAGGATGAATCTATAGCAGACATGAGATTTGAAGGTGTTGTTCTCTTAGGACTTCTGTATTCTCTGTGAGGTCAGAAGTAAGGTCCTCTGCTAAGAGTGAGGAGGAAGAGTGGTTGGCTTTCAGTGATGGCGAACCTTTTGAGCTCGGCGTGTCAGCATTTTGAAAAATAACATGGAGATTATTTATAACAAGTGAATGGACCAGTTTCAGGACAAAAAACAGATTGATGGTTTCAGATGGGACTCTGCCAAGTGGGAGAAGCAAAGGACCATTGAGCATTTAGGAAAAGGATGGCTAAAGTGCTGGGGATGAGGACTTAATTAAATAGGTAAGTAAGTGGGGACAAAGCAAGGCTAAGGGTAAAGGTAAGAAATCAAAAAAATTCTCAGGATGAGTTATCCACATGCAGTCATAGTACAGCGAAGGCCTGGGGAGGGGAGGGAGTAGGGTGGCGGGGGTTAATGGTGTGTGTGGGGGTAAGATCTGTAATACTTTCAACAATAATGATAAATTTTAAAAAAGAGAGATATACTGTCAGGATTTAGAAAGATGGGGAAGCTTAGAAGGAAATTCCTAGAAGACAAATAGATGACAACTGTAAGGAGAGGCAAAGAGTGGGAGAGGCAGATGCTAGAAGTGAATGGATCAGGAGTGCACTAT